ACCGCGCCGACGCACGACAGCTACAACTAACTGACTGAGCCACAGAGATCGTCGCTAGGCTTGCCAACCGTCCCGAATTTTCCAGGACGTCCCGCTTCTGGGTCAATTTTGGCCCCGCCGTGACCCCTTGCGGGACGCCTTTTGTCTAGGAAATCAATGATTATTATGATATTAGTGTCTATCTCGTACCATCTCCACTACTACTAAGCTAATTTGTTACAAATTATTAAAATTTCTTAATACCTACGCATTGCGTATTTCGCATGAGGATGGGAAGCGACCGATGTTCTGTTCACAAATTCAGTGAATTTTATAACTAACTACACTTAACAACAACTTCCAAAACAAAACCTTGTTAAAATAACTAAATATATAAAAATAACTCGACTGGCAAGCTTGGCAACTCACAAATATACCACTTCTCCCCATGGCCTATGTTCAGCAGTGTACTTTTGATATTATTCATAGAACAATGGTGACAAAGGAGCACACAGTCAGCCTTACGGTAAATGGATGCTGTGCCTGATAGTCACCTATACTATCCTCGATTAAGAAGGTGCGTTGTCTTTCCTGAGGGCTAGGAGAGAATGCCTCGTTACGAATAAAAAGGATCTCCGGTTCTTGTACACTCGCCATACGAAACAGCAGCGTTAAGCTGGTCTAAGATATTTTACGCTGGTACTATGTGAGAGCGTGGTCCTTCCACAGTCGAACCCATTAGCGATACAATTATAATACATATAATAATAATAACAATAATAATAATAATAATCTTTATTTGCAAGAATATGGTTGTACAATGTGTTTGAGTATAATTCGTTCCACATATTCTACCTTAGTGGTGTGCAAATATTAATGGTCAGGTAACCTAAACAACAATACTTATCAAATTTAACAACATATATTAATTTAACAAAATATAAAATTATTTAATATTATTTACTTGATTTCATAATATAGCTGCAGCATGCACCTACCACGCACAAAATAAAGGCCGTAACGATAAAATTTGATAATCAGGAATGTTTTAAAGTTGCTTAAGTGTTACATTTTATAGACAAATAAAGAACGCGATTGTCAAAAATTCGGCTCACTCTTCGCTCGATGCGGTCAAGTCGAAGGCTTAATGCTGTAGTTTCTACTTACATAACCGACCCTTAGTTTAAAACGACTTATGGAAGGTTAGATTTATGTTAAGAATTTTCAAGTTCAACATTTAAGGGGGGTGTAACTCAGTGGTAGAGTGTCTGCTTCGCATGCTGAGTCATGGGTTAAAGTCCCAGCACCTCCAAAGCTTTTTTCATCATAACTTTTTTTTCTAACTTACATTATCACTTACAATTTTTATAGTTTATAAGTTTATATATATAAAAATCAAATGCTGTCAGTTAATCTAACTAAAACTCGAGAAAGAATTTAAAGAAATTTTTATATGTGTTTGAATGGGTCCCTAGATTGTTTGGATTCACTTTCGGACCAGGTAGGCGGCGCTGTTGTCGAGATCCAGAGATCACCCGTGCGAAGCCGGAGCTGATCGCTAGTATAGGCAGATAACTTTCTGACGGGAAAGAAATTCAATAACCGAGAGGCAGTACAAAATGCCTTTGAAGAATTTGTTGCCTGCCATCCAGCTGATGTGTTCAAGAAGTGCTTCAAATAAAGATGTAAGGATGTGATAATTTAATTAAAGAAATAAAAATATAGAAAAAAATACGTTATGTTATTTCATAAAAACGTTAATTTCTTATGTGAAAACCTAATATATAAAAGTTACAGCCTACATACGTCCTGGGCACAGGCCTCCGCTCATTTCTGAGAGGGTTTTAGGCCAAGGGATTGTCCGCCGCGCTGCCCCAATGCGTGTTGGCGAACTTCACATGTCTTCGAAATATTTTTTTTATTTCTCTGACATGCAAGTTTCCTCACGATGTTTTCTTTCACCGCCGAGCACGTGGTAAATCAGCACTTAAAATTGCTATTAACAATTTCATTGGTGCCGCCGGGATCGAACCCAATTTGCTCGCGTACTGTGTGAAATTTACAGCGAGCGCTAAGATGTCGTTCTTTTTTTTTTTTTTTTTTTTTCCTTATTTTTTTTTTTTCATTTTTCATTTTCATCTGAGCTACCACAGCTGTAAAACCAATATATATATGTATATATAAATTTGAAATTTGTTTAGATTTTTTTATGTTTGTGGCTTAATCTAATTAACTACTGAACATATTTTGATGAAACGTAGCAATATAATAGAATAACACATAATAGGACATGTCTAGGCTAAATTTTTTGTATATAGTATGTCTACCAAATTACGTTATTTTTAATCTGACAAATAAAAAAAATTGTCAATGTTTTTAAAAGCGAGAGCGGAGCCTAAGTTAGTTTTATAATATAAATTTTAATTTATATATATCAAATATCATTGGTAAAGACTGTTTAGTTTTTTTTTTTATATGATTGGGTAACAAACGAGCACACAGTCCACCTGATGGTAAGTGGTTGCTGTGGCCCATAGACATCTACATCTATCCTCGATTACGAATCAAAATGCAGATGCGTTGTCACCCGTAAGGACTAAAACGGAATGCCTCGTTTCCAGTAAAAAGGATCTCCGGCTCTCTACACTCACCATGCGAAACACAGCAGCATTAAGCTACTATTTTACGCTGGTATTGCGTGAGAGCATGGTCCTTCCCCGGTCGAGCCACACCATTCGTGCTACAACTGTACAACTAATATAACTACAGCATGGCCCTACCACATAGATATTACAAGCATACTACGACGTATACGTTACGAGTAGCATAATTCTTCAACATCTTTCTTCCGGTCAAACTGCACATGCCACTTTACCATCAGGTAGGCCGTAAGTACATTTGCCACTTCTCATTTATAAAAAAAAACAAACGTAGACAAGAATTAGCCTTATTATTATGACTTAAAGTTTTGCAAAATCTGCTGATGGTTGGCGCACGGCATTAAACACATGCGCGCGTGACAGAGAACAGTAATGACGGGTCATTGTACGAAATTCTTCGTGCTCGGCGGCCGGGCGTTAGAAAAGGAAAGAAATCTCTAACCAATGAGTGTGCCAATAATTATGATGAAATATTTCGTAACAACATGACTTTCAATCTCTAAGGTTTGTTCCGAAATACAACCCAGTACACTGGCCAATGCAAATGACGTCATAAATCGACGTCATAGGTGATTCGTTGTATCGAATATGGTGGAATACGGCGTCAATTAATGACGTCATTTGCATTCGCCAGTAAACTGGAAACATTTTGTAACATAGGTACCCATAATAGATTGCTATTGACTTTATTGTTCATCAATCTTACTTCCTTTGTTTCATTCATAGATCTGTCATACAATATTATATCACATTTTCAAACATTTTTAATAAATAAATCAATATTGTTAATAAGTTAATGTTGCTTTAAAAATTAAAAGAAACTTCTTTACCTACTTGTACTGAAAAATATTAATTACTATGCATGTTATATCGTTACATCAAATTAGTGATTAGTTTAATTTTAAAACAAAATACAATCGCCATCTAATTTTACTATGTACGAGTAGGTACATAGTAAAATTATATACTACTTACAGTTAATTATTGTCATCCTTTGTCAGTTTACAAAGAAATAAATAAAAACTTTATCCGGTTTGTTTTTTTTTTTAAGTTTTTTGTTTTGGTATTTAGACCATGCTTTATCAAATATATGTGAGGTTAATTTGTTTTCGTCGTGTTATTTATCAATCAATCAATCATGCCCAAAATAAAACACCAAAATACTGACTCAGTTTGAAGTGATATATATATATATATATATATATATATATATATATAAACACTCACGCCTATCACCCAGAGGGGTAGGCAGAAACTACAGACTTCCATTTGGCACGATCCTGACACACCTCACTCGCCTCCTTCACATCCATATACCTACACATACATGCTCATCGGTAAAGGGTAATCCTGATTTGGTTATTATGTGCTGGAATAAGACATAGGATAACCTTTTTGTCCAGTGTTAGTCTTTGCTCTTCGATTTCCACATGCGAATTCCACGCGTAGACATTTTCATAAGTTCGATAATTTTTTTTAATTCTGACAACTCTGTGGCGTCTTAGTATCTATAGCATCGAGTTGTGGTGCTGAAGGTCGCGGGTTCGAAAGATCCCACACGGATCAAGTAGGTACCTTAATGTATGTTCTGTTTTAATAATAATCATAGCGTTTTTTAATAACGACTATGCCAAACAACAAAAAACATTTTAACCGACTTCAAAAAAGAAGGAGGAGGTTATCAATTCGGATGTTTATATTTTTTAATATTGGGTATATAACTCCGGGAGGAGGAGGTTCTCAATTCGAATGTTTATAAGCATAACTCCGTCACATGTATAAATGGATTTACAGAATACTTTCTAGTTCGAAAGAACCTATTCTAAAATGAATTTCGGAAAGATCTGATGATGAATTTCGGAGACAGACAACGGAACTTTTCAATCAATGCCGGCAAAATCAACCGCGATTGCTGCTATTGCATATCTATGCATTGTTTACGCATTCGCATAACATAACATCACGCCTGTACCCTCTAAAGGGGTACGCAGTACGCAGATGTGTTCCGTATACCACGGTGCACCCCGATTTCTGTCAAAGTTATTATTTTGAAGTCACTGACTTATAGATTATTATTTATATGATTTAACTGCTATTTTTGTATGTTTTATTGAATAGACTGATCTATGAAGGTTCTATAGAAATTTTAAACAAAAACCACCCCAAATTTTTTTTTCAAAAAGTATATGAAGCATATAAGTTTTGTTGACGAATTACATTTCAAAGAAATAACAATTTAACAATTATATATAAATCTGTATGTTGAAGTACTTTTTACTTACTACTTTTAGTACGTACTTACTTTTAATAGACAAGATTGAAAACCTATATTAATCAACATAGTTTTAGTTGTATACTTACATTAAAAATATCACAATTTTATAACATAAATCACTTCACTATATTTCCGAACCAACTCGCGAAAAACTTCCTTATGCCAAGTGACACACGACTACGTCCTTATCTCAAACCTGCTAGACTGACTGATTGAATTTGAATGATTGAGATGTAATATGATTTAATTATTGCCATGCCAAGATCGATTGTTTCCCAAAACAATGTTCTATCAACTTACACGATGTCGAGATACTTTTAATGCATTTTCGTCATGAATATTTTTACCTATATACCCATACGTATACTTACACAATCTATATAACAAAATACATGACGGGAAAACTTTGCACCTAACTCTCATTAAGCATATTTATTTATTTTTATTTTTAAGCATTAGATCTTTCTTATTTTTTCTCAATTACAATAATTATCCTTTTATTTTTAGTAAGTATTCTATCACATTATTGTTTAATTGTTTAAATTATAAATATTTTTTTTCTCTTATTCCTCAGACATGCAGGTTTCCTCAGGATGTTTTCCTTCACCGCCGAGCACGTGGTAAATCAGCACTTAAAATTGCAATTAACAATTTCATTGATGCCGGCGGGGATAGAACCCGGGTTACTCGCGTTCTGTTATATTTACAGCGAGCGTTAACCATCTGAGCTACCACGGCTCAAACCATAGAATTAGAATATAATTGTGTAGTATATTCTAAGTCTATTGTTCGAACTGAAATACAGCTTGCTTATATAACATATAAACTTAAAATGTAATGTAATACTGTTTTAGAACTTCGGCCCTAAGTGAACACTAGTTAGCTTAAAAGGCCCTTATTCCAGTATCACGTTGAAAATATAATATTTACGCCACATATTTTATAGCATAAAAGTGACAAACGAGCTGATAGTCCACCTGATGGTAAGTATAAGTAAAGATGCTTTGGCCTATAGAAATCTACATTTATACATACACATAACATAAACACTCACGCCTGTCACCCAGAGGGGTAGGCAGAGACTACAGACTTCCATTTGGCACGATCCTGACACACCTCTCTCGCCTCCTTCACATCCATACACCTACGCATACTTGCTCGTCGGTTAAGGGTACTCCTCCCTTTTCTTTGTCACTCTTTCCTCATTCATTCTTTCCACATGACCAAACCACCGAAGCATTCCTTTCTTAATCCTGCTTACAACATCATCTTGCGAACCACACTCTTCTCTTATTACACAATTTCTTACCCTGTCGTTCAGATTCAGCCCTAACATACTCTTTAACGACCGCATTTCTACTGCGTTGATTCTACTCTCGTGCTTCTTCTGCCACACCCAACTTTCACTACCATACGTTAAAGTAGGGACCAACACAGCATTGTGAATTGCCATACGTGCCTTTTTTTACACATTTTGACTCTTCAAAATAGAGTGCAGGGCCCCATTTACTCTATTTCCCGCGTTCACTCGTCGTTCTATATCCTTATCATATCTCCCATCCCTGCTAAATACGCAGCCCAAATATATAAACTCATCTACTTGCTCGATCAACTCCCCTTCTATTCTTATTTCACAAATCGTTTTACTTTCTTCTCTTTCAAAAACCATAACCTTCGTCTTACTTGCGTTCACTTTCATACCCCTTTCTTTTAATGATCTGTTCATTAATGTAACCATCATTTGCAACTCGGCCGCCGACGACGCAAGGATAACTTGATCTTCATTTATATCTAGCAATACATTTAATTTATCACGTTGATGTATGGGCATTGCGCATATTTATATTAAATTTCCCCCAACATAGGGTAACTTTCCAGAGTGGCAACAATAAATTGTTAATGGTCAACCATTGAAGTAATATGTATTTACGTACTAGAACAGCTATCTCAAACAAAAAATGTGCGCTACTCTGTGTTCAGATGGTTGTTTTTTTATCATAGAATAAACATAGGTAGAATGGCCCGTAGGTAATAGTAGATTGTATTGTTAAATAGGTAAATTATATCGAGAATAATATTTAAAATTTGTCTTTGTATATTATATTTGCTTATTTAATATAATATTACATAATTTTATATCCCGATTACATTTTAATGATATTTTTATCCGAATATTTTAAAAGGTATCTATGTCAAATATAAAAAAACATACTAAATGTATGTTTAACAAAACTTATTAACGTAACATTTAAATTAGAAATATATTTATTTAAATAAGAATAAGAGTCGTTCATAAATGCTGGGTGGGTACGCAAGAGTTAATGGTCGAATTTATTCCACTGCCACTTTGACTTTGATGCGGAAACCTATAAATAAAATAAAAGAATAATAAGCAGATTTAAATATGAAAAATTTAGCCTAATTATATTAACTTATATATGTTTCTATAAAAAAATGTGTTTAATAGTATATTCGTCCTATACTTAAGTAGGTACCCACAGAAATGTCGAATCTGAACATATTAATTTCATAATCTATATTCCGTGACACGAGATGGCGTCTTAAGCGCTTATTACACTATACAATTTTTAGGAAATCTAATTAGGAACCTAAATTGGAAGGTAGTGACCACACTACACTAAATTGAATTCTAAATCGTGACGAACCGCATTCGTAAAGAAGTATCGACGAGGTTGCACGTTTGATTGATGGCGCCGTATTTACCAAAACAGCAGAAAATAGGACTTGCCTTAGCCGTGGTGGGAACAATGGATATTAAAAAAAAGAGAAAAGAGAACTTGTCATTGAGAAAAAACTGTTCAATATGAATATAATTATATATTTTTAGATTCTAAGCAGTTTTTTTATAGGATAGGGTGACAAACTAGCACACAGTCCACCTGATGGTAAGTGGATGCTGCGGCCCGTAGACATCTACATCTATCTCCGATTACAAATCAAAATTCAGATGCGTTGTCACCCGTGAGGACTAAGATGGAATGCCTCGTTTCCAGTAAAAAGGGTCTCCGGTTCTCTACACTCACCATACGAAACACAGCAACATTAAGCTACTATTTTACGCTGGTATTCTGTGGGAGCGTGGTGCTTCCTCGGTCGAGCCGACCCATTCGTGCTACAACTATACTACTAATATAACTGCAGCATGGCTCTACCACCTATAAACAGTTTGAATATTTGTTAAGTTTGGTATCTAAACATATTGAAAAAAGAAGTCACGATATTTCGATAAAGTGTGAGTACCAAAGAATGTCTGATGGTGACATTACGTTTTATAGCCACCGGAAATTAATATTAAGATTTAAAGTACTGCTCTCTGATATCAGACTTCTATCAAAACTTCAAGACATCCGCTTGTATCAAAGCGCGGGCGCCGACTGGTTGTTCTAAATCGTAACGTTGCGATTACACTGTCCTAAATTGTAAACAATTTAGGAAGTAGACCGATTAGGACCTCCAATTTGACTAAATCGGATCCTAACTGTTCTAACTACGATTACACCTTCCTATTTCCTAATTAGATTTCCTAAAAATTGTATAATGTAATAAGCGCTTTAGGGATAATTTGTTTTATTATTAATTTATATTATTTTTTCTTCTTATTAACCGATGAAAGTAATTCCTTGATTTTACTGACATTTCTTTATTTTTGCAATATCTAAGTACATAGGACGGCATATTTTTATCAAGAGATTTTTTTTAAATCAATACAACACGTGACAACTCTACAAGCGCCTAGCGAGTGACTGACACAGAGTACCTTTATTATATACTGAAATGTTCTGAATTACCCGATTATTTGTTCTAAGATTGACGATCCTGGTGACTGATTAAAGTGTGGTGTATGCACCGCAGTTGAGTGGAACATAGTAGCTGAATGCAGTGTCGCCTCTAGTACGTAGTAGTTATTTGCTCAATGCGGTCAACCGACCGGTCATGGCCACAGTACTTACGCTATGGCTTCCTCCTGTTCGCCAAGCGAGCGCGCGACATGTTATACTCCCGTTCACTCGGGACCTTAATGGCGGGAAAATTTGTAAGTTAGAAAATTTTTTTGCTATATTGCAAATTTTGCTATATTTTCACTTTGAGACAATATTTATGGATAAAACTTACAGGAATTCTTGTTGAATGTATAAACTATCGAATAAAATTATTTTTGGTTGTTAGAAATTGTAATAAAATACGTAAATTACCCTGTATAGCATAGTAGTAGTATATACTTCAATTTTAGTGACAAAATTACTACTAATTTGAATTCTACACTTTTGTTTTTGGAGAAATTTATATGAAAATGTTTGGAAATATGTATATTTTTATGTTTAATATGTTTCCATTCGTTACTCATACCAAAATATTAAAAAATAAAAAAAAAATAATAATAATATTTTATCTGTATGACATTTCGAACAATATTTCAAACATATTTTTGCGTGAATTTGAAATAAATACATCAAGTTATTTGAAATATGTAAGAAAACTATTTTTACTTACATTTTACACTAAAAATAAATGAGAATTTGAAAAATAACACATTTATGACCCAACCGCCAAAATGGAGCTTCCGGATTTTGAAGTACTTTTGGCAATTTACTTTTCACTTTTTATACCACAAATTATATATCTACGTGTTTACTATATTACAAGGAATATAAAAAAAGTATAATACTTTCGTTTTTAGTCCAGACACAAACATAAAATTCTATAAAAAAAGACGGAGCACCTTCATCAAAACGACACGTGGAACGCCGAAAGTTCAGAATGATTTCTTTTTTTTTTCTAAGAAACATTGCCAGGTTATGGTTTAAAATAAAAGAGCATATCTTTGTCTTTGATACTATTATCTATTGCATAGTGTCTTTGGTTTTGTTTAAAACGAAAAAATAGTTTTTTCATAGGTACACACGTTTACATAATTCTGATCTAATTAGCGCACTACTTGGCGAACGGAAGGATGGTATTGTACGATCTAAAGTGCGCATGGCTTGGATACTAATTGACCGATCTAACAACAGAAACAGTTTTCATTCCATGTTCAAACTTATTTTTATGTTCGCTTTCAATAAGGATAATCAAACATATTGCTTTTTCCTACGTTATGAAAATAGACATCCTTTAAAACATGAAACGGGAGCTAGCAACCCTAGTTGTACAAATGTGGTTGTGACAGGCATAAAAAGGTAAACTGGCGTATATTAAGAGAAACATTTACAGTACACTTTCTACTAGAAGGTAACTGGGTATAGTGGCTGGTAGGCACCAAGATTTTTTGTTCCACAATAATTATAAATCGAAATTGTTAGCAATATTATCTTGTTATCAACTAAAAAAAAGCTATAGATACCAAGCAGCCTATCAACGCGACAATTATGGCGAAATCCCCTTAGAAGTTGATGAGGCCTATGTACACAAAAGAACTTGTGATAGTCTTTAATTAATGAATTAACATTTTTTCCAATTATACTGACCTTTTTACCGTCTCGAAAAAAATAGCGTGTAACATGTGAACAGAGTAGAAGCCTACGGCACTGATATTTTACAAAAACTAAAAACAAAATTTGAAAGAATTTTTGAACGATTCCGAATCATTTTTTTGCCATTTGATGAATTCGATTTGCCTCTTGCCTGTGACCCTGCGAAGTGACAAGGTCAAAGTTGCCCACAAAGTTCATTGTTTTATTGCTGTTCGTAAAGTGGGGTAGATATGATTTGAATTTCGATAGATTTTAATCAATTAATTTACTTCATAATTCAAAATTTTGAATTGAAAACTACATCGTTACATACTAAAGATAGCATCGTTGTGATTTGAAAGTCTGTGAAACGAAAAAGCGACAGTAAAAAGAGACAGACACATAAATTCATAAGATTTAACGTGGGAGAAAATGAGATAGGAAGCATTATAGCTCAATTCTCGCAAGAAAAAAGTCGTAAACGCCGCCAAAACGGCGTCGCTTACGCGTTTTGTTTAACAAGTTACGAAGGTGTCGTGTGCCTATGGAATAAACAGGCAGTGAAGAACGGCCAAACCTCAACTTCGTAATTGGTAAAATTGATATAAATCTGTTTGTAATTAGTGAAAACCATATGAGGTATATCGAATAGAGTATTAGTATAGTTGTAGCACGAATGTGTCGGCTCGACCGGGGTAGGACCACGCTCTCACAGAATACTTATACCAGCGTGAAATAGCAGCTCAACGCTGCTGTGTTTCCTATGGTGAGTGTAGAGAACCGGAGACCCATTTTACTGGAATTGAGGCATTCCGTCTTAGTCCTCACGGGTGACAACGCATAAGCATTTTGATTCGTACTCGAGGAAAGATGGACTGCGTGCTCGTTTGTCATCCTTGTACAATAAAAAAGTAATATAATATCTGTGTCTAGTATGTATATATATATATATTTTTATAAAAAGGATATATTATTAAAAGGATTGTTTCATTTATTTACTATAAAATTGTAATATTAAATAAATCATTTGTTGTATTTTATATTTCATTTCATTTGAAGATTTCACTTCAGTCGCGTGTGAGCTGCACGCATGTTCATTTTATTTGTTTTTATTTTCTGTAAAATATCAGTGCCATGATAGCCAGAGAGCTTTAAAATATTATACCCAGCAGATATCAAGAAAGTCTTTTAAATAAATGAATTACCTACTATATACACCTTCTAACACTACGAGTAAGTTTGCCATCAACCATTACCTATATAGTACGTGAGGGTAATGTGGTCATCCGGTTAATATGTTCACTTTCTTATAACCCAAAAACTACAGCCTTGTTTGCATAGATGACCCTGTGATACGATAGCTCTTCATCAGTCAATCAAATAATGAAGGTAAAGATATTAATTAATTTGCAACCTTCCGCTAACTAAATACCTACAATGATGTGTCTTACCTGGATCGAAGAGCTCTTCAATCCAGGTAAGACACATCATTGTATTTAGTTAGCGGAAGGCTGCAAATTAATTAATATCTTTATTATAATGGATTTCCCCAAAGTAACGCCTGATTCTATCAAATAATGAAGGATCAAAAGGGCGATGTTTTTCGACGCCATTTTGACAGTTGACATTATAGTAAATATTTTAGTCGATTATAGTATGGTGTAGTGTAGTTAGTTCTTTTTAAGGGGATATAGTAAGTCAGCTCAAATTCCAATTTCGCCCCCACTTCCCTATGTATGCTATGTACCGACATGTTTGTAATCACTGATACTGTAAGTAGATAGGTCGTTAGATACTTATTTCATTAGGTTTATCATATTTATGCCTGTTTCTTAACGCCAACCTAGTCGCTTCTTATTTTTATTACGATTATTTCACATTTTAATTTTACGTCGTACTGTTGCGTAATGTGTATTCTGATCGTAAGCGACACAACCTCCCCCTTCAAAGGCCGAAGCGACCGGGCGGCAGGAATCACGCTTCAAGAGGCCGATAGTTTAGGTAATTTCTTTTTACAGTGAAAATAATGGTATTTTAAAAAAAGTAAATAACATAAGCACTGCTTTATAGTTAGTTCAGTTAGTATGCAAAGTTTCATGACCTTATTTAAAGTATTTTATGAATAACAGCGGTTTATTGTTTATTTTGGAGGTAACTTTGGATTTTTTTTCTATCGAGAAAATTTTACGAAATCGTGTTTTCATCTAACATAATCCTTAACATTAATCCTCAACTTTACCATATATTTATTTCAAAATTAATGCTGCAATATTTTCGGAATAACGAAGGATCTTGCTAAGCCATTTGAGATTATATTTCCCCTTAAGTAGATTTTTCGAAGTGTTCCTAATTATTGCCAAAGCTTGTTTGCTATTTTTTTTCTTAATATATTAGTTATAGTATGTATACGATTTTTTTTTTGTCTTTTTCCTTCTCCTAGTTTTGATTCTATAAGGCGGCAAAGCTTAAGGTGACCATATTATCCTCACATACCTTACTTATAACCTTATTTTACTTTACTTGGCAGTAACTCATATTTTTAAAGCAAACATTTTTTTTTAATTAACAATAGCACGTATAGGTTTTTATAATAATTCGTTACCGTAACAGCCTGTTAAAGTCCACTGCTGAACATAGGCCTCCCCCATAGATTGCCTCATGGGGAGAATATTTGCCATAATTGCCACGCTTGGCAAACGGGTTTGCAACCGTAGTTTTTTATGTTTAGCTGTTATTATGGCGGCTGTACACGCTCGTCGAGACACCACGAGACAGGCCGAGTACGAGTGTGTACATGGTGCTCTCGTCGCATCGTGTCGCGTTTCGTAACCCTCGTGCGCTCTCGGTAGCGTGTCGGTTTTTTGCGCTCGAGTCAAAGGGTCTCATGACTCTCTCGATGAAAACGAGAGCGCACTATATTCTATTCACAGTACATGGTTCAGTTACGGTAAATAGAAACCATCCACCATCTTCTTCTTCGCTGTGGCTTATTAATTTTTATGGTAAATGTGTAAAAAGTTATAATAATTAATAGCACAAAGGCAAAACGCAGCAACAGTTTCATCTAGGTCTATCTCAGTGGGCATGCGGAGTTCAAATGATACAACGAGTGTGTACATGGTGTGTTCTCGTGTAGAGCCTCAACACGACGAGAGGCACGCGAGGCGACTAGACAAGCGTGTACAGCCGGCATTAGGAAGACGCTGCTCCTCATCTCCTGATTTGTTTCCCTCTGTCGCCTCTTACGACACGGCATGATGATGGGGTAGTGGATATCCTTACACCAGTATTCACATACACATTCTTACAGTAGCGGTGTAAGAATACGGTATTATAGTACGGTAAAAAGAAATAAAACATTATTTAAATCTAATTTTTGTAATATAATAATTGCATTAAAGATCTCTATTTTCATAAAAGAGCGAGGTATTTCTGAAACAACTTTACATTATCCTTCTCTTGCTGCTCATTGCATAATCTGTGGACTTGCACTTCATTTTGACACGTAACAATTGCCTGTGAACAGAAATAGTCATTAAAAAAATTGTACATATCCGCTCCGACTCGTGACTGGATTTTACTCCTGAAAAACGATTGTCTTAAAATATATATAATATGAAAACAAAGTAAATAAAGCCACATATTTATTTATAGTCAACAAAATCTAAGGATTACCTTTTGACGTTTCACAGTAATTATTCCGCAATAACTTTGCACCAGCGTACTCACACGATTTAAAATAACCTTTCACGTAAATCCGAAGAATTATAAAGTTATACATATTTCGTTACAATGTGTGTAGTTTTTTATCACTAATTTAAATATGAATTTTTCAAACAAAGTAAAATATATAAGCAAAAAATAACTAGTATTAACTTTTCAATTTTGACATCGTTTCTATGATATGTCGCTGTGTATATTACCGTAGTGTTTGGATGATTAAAATTCATTGTTATGCGAATAATCGGCGTAATATTCAAATAATCGGTAATTTTTTTTAAATAGTGGAATCATTAACTTTTTCGATGTACTATTTGTTTAATTTAATTTTTATTTTCAAAATTCCTTAAATTACATGAATCTTGAATAAAAAAAGTTCATTTTTTTACTTTGTCAAAGTAAATTTGTGTAGGCACAAAAACTCATATACAAGGCCGTGCTAAAATAACCACTACATAATTTAAATATCCCGCCATTTCGGTACCAGTTACTCGACTCCACAGAGTCAGTAATTCATTCTTGGGGCGATGTATACGCTTTTACAACAAAATTACAGAAATAATAAAAATTTGACGTAAGAACACAAAGTTCAAAAACTTTATTAAATTGCATAAAAAGGGTTATTTTAATATTGAGGAATTTATGGATGCTAATAAAACCTGGGAAGGGTAATCGCTACCAAGCTATTTCTAATTTGTTTTGAGTTGTTAATTGTAACACGCGTGATTGTAAGCTCTTATTTTTTTTTAAACTAGTCTCGTTGGGTTTCTTGCTGATTCTTCCCAGGACAGAGGTTTATTTTTGCGAACCATATACCATATTGATTATGGATGACTTTGAAAGAGACATTAATTTTCAAAAAATCAAATAATTGTTAATATAAACAACGACATCTCTACTAGTTGTACTGAAAGTGATTGAATAAATTTGTTTTGACTCCAGTTTCAATCTTAAATTTTTATAAGTGTGCCTCTAGAAATAAGCAGTAACAACAAATACGAAGAAACTGATAAATCTTGTGTTTTAAATTAACTGTTTTTATTAATTTATTCTGGTATTATTCAAACCAAACTGTAAATGATTACAAACTCTAAATAATCCATATCGATTTTTTTAAGAATCGAATATTGTACGTTCCCATTTTTTGGTTGGCATGCTTGGTGCAATAAGTCTGACAGCTGTCAAAATGTATTTCTTAGATTTGGTTGACTATAGGTATATTGTTTCGATAAAATATACTAGCACCCATGCAAATGCAAAGGTAAAACCTTTTGCTAGTATCATAAACGGAGCGGAGTAAAAGTCTAAATTCATAACTATCTTTATTTCAACAAAATACTGCGCCGCCGAAACGAAACAGCAGGCGCAGGCATATCGTAGCCGTAGAAAGAGAGGGGGATACTTCCTCTCCTACGCCGCGCCGGCTGTCTCTCTCTCTGCATCCGTCTTATGAATTTTCGATCAGGGTCACGTGTCCTGACGCGAGTTTAACATTTTTTACCCATTACAAAAAAGTGTACAACGCCGCTAAAGAAGTTTTCACTTCAAAAATTATCATTCGATAGAAAGTCTCACCATTGTATCACCAGAACTGACGCAAACTGCGGCCGCGTCGTCGACACGGCGTGCGTTTATATCACTGCTGGTGAGACGCCATGCGCACACCGCGCCATCGTGAAGCAGAGCGAACATATCGAACGGGTTTGTGCGCGACCACACCAAACATTTCACGGACATCTGTATTTCAAATTTAAAACATCTTTTGAGACATTTAAAACTTTTTTTTAAAACTATTTAAACATATTTCATGGAAACAGAAAGAGATTTCTTTGCTCTCCGTGTTTACGGCAACTGCCACTAGTCATTATGAGAGTTCGAGCACATAGCTTTTTTTATTAGTATGTGCGAACAGCTATGCAGTGTCGTAAAGCGACAGTTAAAAACTAAAGAACCTAACCTAACACCGAAACAACCAAAAAAGAAAATAATTTATTTAAAATTTGTAAAGATATTTACAGTTTCTTTTATAAAATGTAAAGCCACAATTAAAAACTATAGAACCTAACCTAACAACGAAACAACCAAAAAGAAAATAATTTATTTAAAAAATTGTAAAGATATTTACAGCTTTTTTTTTTATAAAAAAAAAGGTATGAGGGTGATGATGGGCTGTAGTGATGATAATGAATTACAATTTTTAAAAAAAATAAAAGTTAATAAAGATAAATGAGTACGGAAACAATGTATGTACAGGCTATGCCTGTGGTAGATGCACAGCGCCTAATCTAGGTACACGCAGCGCTTGAAGTAGGCACACACAGCGACCAGAATGAGCACACACAACACCCGGAGTGGACACACACAGCGCCTGGAGTAGACACGCAGCGTCTGGAGTAGGTCCACGCAGCGTCTGGAGTAGGTACACACAGCGTATTGAGCAGGTACACGCAGCACTTAGAGTAGGCACACACACACCGCTCGGAGTAAGCACACACAACGCCCGGAGTAGACACACACAGTGCCCGGAGTAGACACGCAGCGTCTGGAGTAGGTCCACGCAGCGTCTGGAGTAGGTACACACAGCGTATTGAGCAGGTACACGCAGCACTTAGAGTAGGCACACACACACCGCTCGGAGTAAGCACACACAACGCCCGGAGTAGACACACACAGTGCCCGGAGTAGACACACACAGCGCCCGGAGCGCCGGAGACACGCAGCGTCTGGAGTAGGAACACGCAGCGCTTGAGACAAACACGCTCAGCGGCCGCAGATAGCGCGGGCACTAATAGGTGGAGGCGTAGGCGTGGCTAGGCGACGACTTCAGGAGAAGGCAGAGGCTTGCAAGATCCCGAGGCAGTGCGGATAAAGCCTTTAAGAGGTGCTTCTCGTATCAAAGCTGAAGAGAGAACCTCTATTGGCCGATTCTTCGGCTTTTATACTTTTTGACGGATCTGGGATAAGAACGTGAAATTATTTGAAATTATTTAAATTAAAAGCAAATTTTTGTAAATGGCCAAGAAGAAAAGAGTATTTTTGAAGTAAAAACATCAGGCCGGTAACGATATTTGAATAAAAATTGCCATGACAACCAGATAAACAACGATGTCAAAACATGTCAAATTTTGGTTTTAGGCTCGTAATAGAGAAACGGCAAGATTTAAGTGAAAAATGAGATATTATTGATATAGGAAAAAAGGTAGCGCAACAGTTCGCACAAAGCCCGAAATTGCAGAGTTACGGAGAACTAAATAAAAGATCGAAAAAAAGTAGACTCCATTGACACCGATTTAAAAAAGTGCTGATAACGTGAAAATACGATGTGAAAATGATTTGTTCTTGTGTTCTTATGGTTTAAAAACGTTACAGGATCCTATGAAAATAAAGGTGATGCAAAATATCCAGTTTTGAGGCTAATGCAGAAAATCAAAAACAGAATGGAAAAATAAATTTAGAATAGTGTAAAATGATATGTAAGTAGCATAACACTACAGCAGGTCTTGGGAAGAGAGCAGTATCTCTGCGACCTAGAAGATCTATTGTGATCGCGGCTATGGCTATAGTTCGCGGCTAAGACCTATGTCTTCATGAATAGAAGGAGATGCTTAGCTGTGAGCAATTTCACTTCTTCTGGGCGAAGTAATAGTTTCCCAGATGATCATATTATGCAGTATGCATTACGGGTCCGCAATCAGTTAGGACGTGCAGTGGCGTATCTTCCGTTATGTAACAGAACCGACACATCCTTGAGTTGCTTAGTCCCAGGATGAACATGTTGCTTTTTAAGATAACAGCGTCCAGTTAGAGCTCTTGCCAAAGCACATAGTTTAAGGAAGAAAATACTTAGTTGTTCGTATTTATTGACTTTCTTTGCATAAAAATATTTCGAAGACATGTAAAGTTCGCCAACACGCATTGAGGCAACGCGGCGGATATTTCCTTGCCTTAAATCCCTCTCAGCAATGAGAGGAGGCATGTGCCCAGCAGTGGGACGTATATAGGCTGTAAGTTAAACCAACTTTACCCTTTTATAACAGTAAAAAAGAAAATTATGGAGCCATTTTGATAGGCTTTGGGCGGCATTTTTGGAACGAAGTCACCTACCAGTCTTATTTTTTTAAATGACGCTAGTAAAAATGAAAAAAACTCTGAAAATTAACTGATACTACGAACTAAACTAACTTAGACTAACTGATTTAGAGATATTCTGCACACACGCACTTGCCTAAGTTATAAGTGCAAATAAATTAATATAATTCTAAAATCTATTTTTAAACTAGCCTCCGGATCCGTCATCAGGTCAGCTCCATGGAAGTATATTATTGCAACGTCATAGAAGTTACAATTTCTGCTTAATCGGATGTGAGCAAGTACTTCAAAATTATAAATTGCTTTCATTTTTAAATAATAAACTGTAGACGACCAGTAGCTACCCAACCTACGCCACTGTATTCTTACGTAAAAGTTTATAGTGTATGTGAGGGTAATATGGTAACTTTCTTATAACTCAAAAACTACAGCCTTATTTGCATAGATGGCTCTGTGATACGATAGCTCTTCATCGGTCAATCAAAATAATAAATGGTCAAAGGAACGATGCTTTAGCGACGCCATTTTGACAGTTTTTGATAGTAGTTAAATATGGTCATGAACCGTGCCGAGAGCCGTGGTAGCTCAGATGGTTAACGCTCGCTGTAAGTATAATAGAACGCGAGTAACCCGGGTTCAATCCCCGCCGGCACCAGTGAAATTGTTAATTGCAATTTTAAGTGCTGATTTACCACGTGCTCGGCGGTGAAGGAAAACATCGTGAGGAAACCTGCATGTCTGAGGAATAAGACAAAAAAATAATTCGAAGACATGTGAAGTTCGCCAACACGCATTGGGGCAGCGCGGCGGACATTTCTTTACCGTAAAACGCTCTCTGAAATGAGGGGAGACCTGTGCCCAGCAGTGGGACGTATATAGGCTGTAACTTTATGGTCATGAACTATTCTTAAAGTTGATTTTACGAAGTGTTCCTAATTATTGCCAAAGCTTGTTTGTTATTTTCTTAATATATTAGTTATAGTTCACAACTTTGTGTTTTTTCTCTATTCTCCTCCGAGCTTTGGTTTTTTCTCTATTCTCCTCCGAGCTTTGGTTTTATAGGGCGACAGAACTTAATAATAGGAGAGCCCGAGAGGCTAAACTGAGAGTTACTTACTCGTGGGGACCTTTTGGATTGCGAAGCTTAGATGCTAAAAACAAAAAAAAAGGTTACATGTTTTTTTCCTTTTCCGTGGTTGGGAGGGGGGAGAAGTGGATATAGATTTACAAAAATGTAAAAAAAACAGCCACAAAAAATACTCGAGCGCGTCAGATATTAACAGAGTATACGCTCCACGTGTTTTTGAGAACCTAGGAATAATTATTTGACGGATTGAATGGTAGGGATGGCTGTACGAAGGGGTTGAAAATGGGATAAAAAATATTTATTCGAGCGCGTCAGATTTTCCGAAGATATTTTAAATACACCCTAAAGTAGCTCCTATTTAAATTTGGCTTTTTTTAAGATTGTCGGTTTTTTTTGGGATTTTGTGGGCGATTAAACCAAAATTCTTGGCAAATTTTTGAAAATCCAAAAAAATATCGTAACCTTGAATTACTCGAGCGCGTCAAATTAATATACAGACGGCTCAGCATGGTGTCTTTGTCATGCTGACCCATAATCTGACAGTTATGTAGAGGTAATCTGAAGGGTTTAAAAAAGCTTTACATTAAAATGAAAATAACTAGAAAACAATTTATTTACAATAATTTCTCAAAAATTACCTATAAAAAAGTTCCTATGACATTTTGTGATAAGTCTTAAATAGTTTCGCCGGAACAGTAAAGAGATCTCAAAATTTACTATTTTGATTAGATGTTTTCTTTCACCGCTGAGCTCCTGGTAAATTGGCGTTTAAAATTAGAGTCAACAATTTCATTGTTGCAGGCGGGAATAAAACCTGGGTAGCTCAGGTACTATTTAAATTCAATGTACTCTTTCAATATATCTTTTTTTTTCTTAACAGCCAGACCAGACGAGTCTTCCGAATCGATTATACAATTTAACAAGCGAAATACGCGGCCGATAAAATCCAATAACTTTTTATGGTACCTGAAATAGAAAATGTCTGCGACCCTAAAATGACCACCCTGCAAACTTTTCACTAGAAAGTGACAAAAAATAGGGAACCCGAAATTTAAAAAAGAAAACTAGAAAGTACATATAGTACGTGAGGGTAATATGGTCATCCGATTAATATGGTCACTGTCTTATAACTCATAAACTACAGTCTTGTTTGCATAGATGGCTCTGTGATACGATAGCTCTTCATCATCATCATTCATTCATTATCAACCTAATAATAAAGGGTCAAAAGGGCGCTGTTTTATTGACGCCATTTCGACAATTTACAAATGTTTTGGTCGATTTTAGTATGGTGTAGTGTAGTTTTTTTAAGTTGATTTTACGAAGTGTTCCTAATTATTGCCAAAGCTTGTTATTTTATAGGATAGGGTGACAAACGACCTGATGGCAAGTGGTTGCTGTGGCCCATAGATATCTACATCTATCCTCGATTACGAATCAAAATGCAGATGCGTTGTCACCCGTGAGGATTAAGATGAAATGCCTCGTTTCCAGTAAAAGGGGTCTCCGGTTCTCTACACTCACCATACGAAATACATCAGCATTAAGCTACTATTTTACGCTGGTATTCTGTGAGAGCGTGGTCCTTCCCCGGTCGAGCCGACCCATTTGTGCTACAACTATACTTCTAATATAACTGCAGCATGGCTCTACCACGTATCGAATTTTTTCCTTACTAAATTAGTTATAGTATACAACTTTGTGTTTTCATTTCCATCTTCCTCTTGGTTTTGGTTTTATGGGGCGGCAACGCTTAAGGTGATCATATTACCCTCAAGTACATTATTATTGATTGTGAAATTCGTTTGACATTTCTTCATTTAAGATTCGAATTACATAAATTATCATCAGCACACACGCATATGCTACTAAGAACCAGATCATATATCTCTAGGGCACTTGTCCCACCGTCAACGATGAACGAGAAGCAAGTAGAGCTAGAAACTAGATAAGAGTTGGCGAGCATTGTGAAGCGAGTGTGTAGTTCCCATAGTATTGTTCCTGTGCTATAAGCGAGTGCACTCGGATCCGCACTGCAGAGTAAAATGACCGCTGGTTAGTGTCTCAGTATGAGTTCTGACCGCAACCAAACGAGCATCTGATGCTGAGCGAGTTTTACCATTGATAGCTCTCGTCGCTGCGACGAACTGGTGGAGAGAGAGTTCTCGCCGGCAGTGGGAATAACCAGCAATCAACTATTAATATCATTAGACACGAGATCTTTATCTTGTTCGTTTCTTAAGCGAGAAAATAGTCGATAGCTATTAGCTTCCTCGACGGTGGTGGGATAAGTGCCTACATATGGCGACCGTATATAATACTAAGATACTAAGAAGATCAAAATTACCTTCTTTTCCTTTCCAAAATCAATCACACTGGAACTTATAGGGTTCGTCGTAACGCTGCTGATATAACGACCTTTGTTATCTGCCTTACATTTTTCGAAAGCGTTTGAGGTTTCATTCCTGTAATAATTAAAAAAACGGTCATATAATTCATTTTCAATAATATTTATAAAATCTACATACGATAATCTCCATAAAATGATTGGCGAAAAAAAGATTGAATGGCCAATACTTTGAATTATTTTATTAAAATTATTTTAAAAAAAAAATTGCCACATTTGTGCTCCCAACCCAACTGCTAAACTAATAATAAGCATGTATTATGGTGTTCAATTTCGAGGCGTAAGTAATATACATAACTAAAGCTTGAACCGAGCAGAGAAACCCCGAGCATAGCTCTCTCTCTCTCTGAGCAGTGAAGGACTCATCACTGGCAACTCAGAAATGAAGATATCCCCAGTATAACCAGAGTAACAGACATAGCAAAACGGATTAGTAAACTAAAGTAGCAATGGACCCTTCATTTAGCTCGAAGAACCGACAATAACGATGCGCGATGGGGAAGAACCTAGGCGAAGTGTAGGACCCCACTAGATGGAGTGACGACTTGGTAAGACATGCAAGTAATCGATGGATGCTCTCGGGACCGTGTTTTGTGGCATTCTTTGAGGGAGTCCTATGTTCAGCAGTGTACTCGTCTTCACGAGTATACTGCTGAACATAGGCCTTCGGTTCTAACGATGATGATGATGATGATGAAGCTTACATAATACTATTTTAAAGGCCAAAAAATTAAGTCAGTAATGAAACAGGCGTGAAAGGTGCGAAACGCATAATTCAATTGACACGAGTGTCTACTGAACATAGGTTCAGTCCAGTCATTCCTATGTTCAGGCCTATGTTCAGCAGTGGACTTGTAAAGGGCTGTAATGATGAGTGTCTACTGCCCTATTGTAAATATCATTTTAGTACTTCGACACAGGTGACACACTTGAGTTTAAACCCGACAACAATTAGGTGCATTAAGCTTTAGCTTGCTTCCATTCCAAGCCGCCATGCAGATTTCTGATGTAAGTCCATCATTTCCTGGAGCCTTTTTGGGTTTAAACTTGACGCGGCCTACCTTAGCTCCTCGATCGTAAAGGGTGGGTGGTTTGGTAATCACTTGAATCATCAAGTGATCCTTCGTTTACTACTTCTGCTAATTTCCTCTTAAGCCTGTGTTCCGCGTCGTCATCCTGAGTTTGATCATCCGGATAAAAGGTCTCCGCCAGGATTTTTGCGATGCTGATTCTAAGTCTTCTAGAGTTTTTCCATTATGTACAAGAGGGATATCCTTCTGTCTTTGCATTGTACGACCTATCACTCTGTAGATCCCGTCCCACATAGACTCTTTGTCCTGTTTACTGCAGAAATCCTTCCAGCTGGAGGTTTGTGCGTTCTTAACTTGCTGCTGGTATTCCTCTTTAACTTTCATATACTGCTAGTTACCTACCTACCCTACAAAATTACCCTACAAAATTACAAAGATAGTGTGAATAAGATTTTAATCACACTATCTTTTTTAATTTTGTACGGTAATGGCGGCGTCAAAGTATACAAGCCACTTTGTTTCGTGATAGTCGGGCCAAGCCCGCACTAGCCAGCAATAAATGGCACCTTCTTAAATAATATGCCAAATGTAAAAAATAAAGAACCTCGCAGAAGGTACGCGACTTCTGTGATCGATAATCCGACTAACAAGCGTGACAATTAAGGCAAATCAAAGATTGACTTGGAACATTACCAGCAGTGAACTGCTATGGACTAATAAATTTAGGTAAACATTCCTAGAACTAACCAAAACAATTAGAATACACAGAACACCGCCATAGACGGAACCTTACCTGCAATCCAAAGTAAGGACAACTCTATAATCTTGGATAGAGCATAAATGAAGAAGTCCAGTTTCGGTAGCTGCTAAAATATACGGTAGGCCATTTTTTGATACTTCTAAACAAGTTATCGAAGATGTATCATCTATATGGTAAGAATAATTAATTTAATTCACATTCAATAAAAACAGAAATAACTACTGAAAAAAGATATTAAAATACATACTGGCAACACAGAGTTTATTAACCTTAAATGTGCCCGCAAATCTTGTACAACAAAGCACCTCCCCACAATTTTTTGCTATTAAAAAGTTATCAGCGTTATTTATCCTTATTATTTTCAAATCATTACACACTAGTCCAGTTTCCCACATATTTTGGTTATTTTTTCTTATTTGCAATGTATTTCTATTTCTTGCACTGGTAGCACTCCGCGGTCTGCTATTGTCACAATATAATCCAACGGCTGAATTTACGCGGGAAGAACTTGGCCTTAACAAACTTCTATCTTGCCTTCTGATTGATATTCTTCTCTTCGCAGCGTTCAAATTAAATGTATCAGTGAAACTATTTTCTAATGTATTAGTAGCACAGAGATCCAAATGTTCTGTAAGATGAATCGTTTGAGCTTTTTCCAATGAGAGTTTTGACCAAAAAGCTTTTCCTATATCATTTGCCTTTGATTTTGGTTTTTCTTGTGCTATCGACCATAGAGTTAAAATACCAGCGCGCTGCAATGAACACATCTGGAAAATAAAAAAAAGTAAAGTAATTTTTTTGCTTAATATATCTTTTACTTGATTATTTTGATACTTAATTTTTTATATATAACTATAGAATTATGTTTAACTATAGATATTGAAAGACAGCTTGGTAGTGTAGTTGTTAAACGTTCGCCTGTAGTGCTGCGATCCGGGAGATTAATCCTTCGTTTATATATCTAAAAGTTTAATGCCCGAAGTCTATTCTTTATTGATACTAAAACAGACTTTGAATAGCGCTGGACTGGATTATAGTGCACAAGTGAGTACGTAAGTACAGACGCACACTCTATTCCCCCACTTTCATAGTTAAGCGAAGGACCAACAGCTTTACGTGCTTAATGAGTCACGAGGGTTAATCATTTCCAACTTGGGGTTCCAAAATTATCCGGAAAATTTCTTAACAGCGAAACACAATAACTGCTTTTGGCTCGACTTTGGGATTTTACCTTACCTTATGATCAACATTCACGCTTTTATCGCTCACGGATTGGGGATTCGGAAGCTTTTGAATATGAAAAAATATTCAATATCTGAAGGTTAACTATAACATTAGGATGTCAAATACCTCAGAGCCCCCTCCTAACTGTGAAACATCCTCAATTAAACATGTGTCAATTGTGAATGATTCGTTCGTTTGACCCGGGTTGCATCAACGTATTGATGATGAAATTAAATTATTTCAACGTTTCTGATCAAACGATTGACAGGACCTACGACCAAAGAGTATAGTATAATGTCTGATGACCGACATTATCGAGAGGGTCTCGCAGGTCATATATGTAGTACTGAAAATTGAAATGATCCATTTGAATAATCGACCCGATTGACTCGGTTCGTAAGACGAATCAATACTTGAATGATCGGGTCACTAGAAATGAATGACACATGTCTATGCTGAATTAAAACAAGTAAAAGTTAAGTAAAATCAAACGTAGTACGTAGTTTTATTCATTACTGTCATTATTTACCTGTGCTATAATCTTCCGTCCGCCATCTTGATCAGTTCTTATTTGTGAATCTCCGAGAAATTCTAAACCAACAATACAATCGAATACATCACTATTAACGATACAATTTCCACTACTGGTATATGCACTAGTTTGCATTAAACTCGACTTCTGAAAAGAGGGTACACTTTAAAGAGTTATAAGTAAGTCTTCTGTCATCATCATAAGATCCCATCATAAGTCAAACTGTTGGGTACCTCGTAGAGCCACACTGCAGCTATATTATGGCTCTCACAGAATACTAGCGTAAAATAGCAGCTTGATACTGCTGTGTTTCGAGTGGTTAGTGAAGAGAACTGGAGACCCGTTTCATTACTTCTTAGGGTGACAACAATAAGGTGTCCTTAAGGTGAGGTAATGTCCATGTCACAACTATGCCGGTAGTTGTTGGGAGCACTATGCTCGAAGTTGTTGACGAATACGTTTACCTGGGACAAATAGTCCGACTAGGTAAGTCCAACTTCGACCGAGAGGTCAATCGACGGATTCAACTCGGCTGGGCAGCGTTCGGGAAATTACGACACATCTTCTCGTCAGGTATACCTCAATCTCTGAAAACTAAAGTGTACAACCAGTGCGTGTTGTCAGTGATGACTTACGGATCTGAGACGTGGTCTTTCACTGCTGGCCGTATGAGGACGCTCAAGGTCGCTCAGCGAGCTATGGGGAGGACTATCCTCGGAGTTTCTCTGCGTGATAGACTCAGAAATGAGGGTATCCGCAGTAAAACCAGAGTGGCCGACATAGCCCAACGGATTAGTAAGCTGAAGTGGCAATGGGCCGGCCATATAGCTCGAAGAACCGATAACTGATGGGGAAGAAAGGTTCTCGTGTGGCAGCCTCGTACCGGTAGGCGTAGTGTAGGGCGACCCACCACTAGATGGGTGACGACCTGGTAAGATATCCAGGAAGTCGATGAATGCAGGTGGCACAGGACCGTGCTTTGTGGCATTACTTGGGGGAGGCCTATGTTCAGCAGTGGACTTGTGAAAGGATGTAATGATGATGATGATGATTATGAAGGTGAGGTTAAATGGGCCACAGCATCCACTTACATTCAGGTAGACTGTGTGCTCGTTTATCATCCTAATTCTATAAAAAAAAAACAGACCCAAAGCCACTTTTTATAAAACTGAAGTGAGAATCGAACTTACAGTCCACCTGATGTAAGTAGCAACTGCACACCTGCAACAAACTCCAAACAAAGAAGGATATCTGTATCCTAAGTACTCGTATATCCTCTACAGGTTATCATCTCTGAGGACTAAGATTGACTGCCTATCAGCCTATAATTATACTGGTTTTCTATGTCCTTCAGACCGAAACAAAGCAGTACAAGTGATGCCATACACAAGACTATCACAAATGTCGGGGTATGGACTGGGCTGAAAACCAGTGCTATCACTGAGTCCGGTCCTTTTCGCAGTTTCATGCTACAACACAGGTTGTTTTAAAACTTTTTTTATATAGAATAAGGGTGACAAACGAGCACACAGTCCACCTGATGGTAAGTGGATGCTGTGGCCCATAGACATCTATATTTATCTTCAATTAAGAATCAAAATGCAGATGCGTTGCCACCCCTGAAGATAAAGATAGAATGCTTCGTTTCCAGTAAAAAGGGTCTCCGGTTCTCTACACTCACCATACGAAACACATCAGCATTAAGCTGCTATTTTACGCTGGTATTCTGTAAGAGCGTCTACCCGATCGAGCTGATCGAGAGGAGGGGCTCTCCCCCTCACTAGTAATCTGTGAAATTTGGGTGCAGTGGTTTTGACCGAATTTCTTGTCAACAGTTGACCGCTAAACTTAGTATAAAAATACCGCCTACAGATGAGGTTAGAATTTAACGAAAAATATGTCACAAACAAATAATAATCTCAGCTAAACCTAAAAACAACTATTTGTTTTCCTGTCCAAATGTTTACACCGGCTGATGTTCTAACCCAGAACTCGCAATTAGTCAGTCAGTCTCACCACTAAGCGGTCATTGATAGAATCAGGCGTGACAAAAAGTAATTTATATTTTTATTACCTTGCGAAAATCCATTATAATAAAAATTTAAATTACTTCGCAACCTTACATAAGACTCTACGGCGGCTGACCGCTAAGTGAGTCTTTACGGTCAGCCGCCGTAGAGTCTACATCACCCGAGGATGCCTCGTCTAGAGACGAAACGCGTGTCGTATTGTCGTCGATGGTGTGTCTTACCTGGAATAGTGGTGTTGGAAGTAGTGGTGCAGGGACTACAGGTGACGGAGTTAGTGCATGAAATTGAGGGAGGGCGGGAGGTGCTCTTAAATCCAGGTAAGACTGGCAGCGGAAGGTGCGAAGTATTTTTATTACTAAGCGGTCATCAAAAGCTAGATGTTATGTACATTAAAATGCAAATTTGTATTAACACAGTGGTCAAAAGTTTCCGTTACTCGAGAACTTTAATTTAATCCCCAATGCGAACTCCATTTTGTAAGTTTCTATCATAAAATTTTCAACGCGCGCCGGATGCTCATCCACACACCGCACATTATCAGACAATACTTTTCGGCAGTCATAATATATTACAAATATTCCATAGGCATGCATTTTTTTTACCTCGGTGATTAAATATTCTAATAACGATGCAGTAATTTTTGTCAGTTTCACCCCAATGGCGCATCGTACGGGAGTACCATCTCGAAATTTCTGATGGTGTGCGGCATCTAGTACGAAATATATGAAGATCACGCCTTCTGACATTCTGCTATAGAAGCTGACGCTCGGATCTACAAATTTCTTATAATTTTTGAGGCCTAATCTAAAATGTATGCGCAGAGTGCTTCCGACGCTGTTTGGGATATGTCACCGGCCTTAAGTTTAAAATATTTTGAGGTAATCTGTTTAATAATATCGAAATAATAGCATGATATAATATTCATAACGATATTTAAAATAAAGAACCTTTTCACAAGTAACGCTTCTATTCTTTAAATTCCATTGCCTATCTAGTTCAGTTTGTGATAGTCGGTCCGTATCTATTTTTCCCGAATTGGTAGATTTGTACTCGCTGGTATCATCTTGCATCCATGTTGCTTCTTCAGATAAGTCCCATAAATGTATAGTTCTAAAAAAGAGAACCTTTTAAACGAACGAACAATTGTTTTCAATTCATTAACAAATTAAAAACTTTAACTGTTGCTTTTGATTTCAACGGATATAGGTACCTCTCAGCTAGCGAATTCTTACAATATCGAATGCAACGCTTATGAAATGAGATAAAAAATGCAATAATTAAAAAAAGCTCGCTGTAGAAAAATATATTTCTATTCCATTTTAATAGTTATACTTCTTATTTTGCTAGTAATTTGTCTAATCGTATGCTGAAGACGTATTGATAGTACGAGTTACCTTGTATAAAAGACATATTTATAACGACATCTAACGGAATCCATAACATCTGGACTGGCAAAATAGTACCTATATGAGTTTTAATTACATTTTTAATATTTAAAAAGCCACTGCGTAGTGACGCTGTAAGAGTATTCCCTACGCCATATCGTCCAAGTGTGTCGTAAAAGGAGACAAAGGGAAACTTAAAACAGGAGATGGGCAGCAGCATCTTTCTAGCAACAACCCAAGAATAATAATAGAAAACTACCAAACTACCATTGCCAAGCGTAGCAACTATGGCAACCCAGCTATAAGTAAATCTAGAGGGGAGGATGATAAATCTCACTCGTACGCTGTGTACTTTGCGAACTTACGAATGAACGAGTATCTAATGACGGCCAATTGGCAGGTTCCCAAAAAAAAACCCGAATCGGATAGACTAATAATGAGAAACGGTATTACCATTGCATATGTTACGATTCTGTGCCGCTTTGTGAGGCGTATAAGAAATATTTCAAACTATGCATGCCGATTAAAATATTCTTCCAAAGACGTTTAATGGATAGAAAAGAAAAATTAAGAAATAATACAAAACGTTTTCTAACCCATCTCTTAAAGCAGCAACAACAATACCATCAGTACCTCCTTTAAATCGTCCAATAGTAACATTATCTGTGGCAATGAGAAGTTTTAGAGGATCCTGCATTGCAACACTCAAGTCCCACATGCAAAGAATGCATTTCTGAATTAAAACTGGACTTGAAGATTTCTCATGAACAGTAATTAATAAATTTGTTCTAGTTGTAGAAAATATTGCATTAGTAATTTTCAGTCCCCTTACATTCGAGATATCTGCGGAAACATTTTTGGTAGGTACGGTAATATAACCTTTACTAAATGGAAATTTAAAACTCTTTATTAAATTACTCATATCTGAGTTGCCAGTATTCATACTTAAACTACTACTAATCCTTCTTTCTACTTTTTTCAGAAACTTCTTCAATCTATAAGCATTGAAATCGTGTTGCTTTAGTTTTATTCTGTAAGTTTCCAGTGGAAGGATTACATCAGACCCAACGCCATCTTTCTGTTCTAAAAATATTCTCAATGGATTATCTCTATAATTTTTATCTTCACATTGTTCATCATGGCGGTCTTCAATCTTTTGATTTACTAACATTGAGATTTTTTTCAAAAATTCGTCATGTTCTTTACTATTTACTATATTAGCATTTAAATAAACTTCGTGTTTTGAAAATTTTACTGGAAGCTGAGTCCATTTGTTGTCATATGAAATTTCTTCTGTTTGTACTTCTTCAGTAATACCATCATCAAAAGTTTGCACTGCAATTTGTGTGCAATTGCCTTTGCCATATGTTGCCATATACAAATCGTACGGAATGGGTGCCAGTTCGAAAAGCATGTAAGTCATTTCGTGCAATGATATCATACTTAAAATATCTTGCGCTCTTTGTTTAAGTTGTTGTAATATTCGACGTTTGCGTTTGTTCTCTTTCGATATTGTAAAATCTATAAAGAGTGGTCTGAAACAATTAAAAATAAAATATTAGTATTTTTTGTATGTCTCACTAAAGTGCGCAAACCTCTCATTGCTGAGAAGAAAATTCTGTGGTTGCTCAGGGACCTAGCGATACTTTTTTCATTATACTCAAATAATCCGAAGTCATTAGTACGGTACTATGAACTAATCAGCGAGGAAATATATTTTTAATAGGTTTTGTCTGTTCTATTAAAAGAATGAAAAAACTTTTTTTTGTTGGGGCCATGCTGCAGTTATTATAGTAAGTAGTATAGTTGTAGCACGAATGGGTTGGCTCGACCGCGGAAGGACCACGTTCTCACAGACATCAGCGTAAAATATTAGCTTAATGCTGCTGTGTTTCCTATGGTGAGTGTATAGAACCGGAGACTCTTTTTACTGGAAACGAGGCTTTCCATCTTAGTCCTCACGGATGACAGCGCATCTACATTTTGATTCTTCATTGAAGATTGATGTAGATGTCTATGGGCGACAGTGTTCATTTACTACTGGAGTGTATGCTTTTTATCCCCTTATTCTATAAAAAAATTTAGATGATGAAATCTCAATGAGCACGAAGATATAATGAGAAAGAAAGAAGTAACAAATAGATGCCTTTTTGGGAAAGAGTACCATAATGCTCTGATTTATATATTTTTATTATTACATAATGATATATATTGAAATAGTTACCTTATTATCTCTAAATGATGTCACTAAATTGCATATCTTAATTGACTTTAACGATAAACACTTAAAAGAATTGGGCTAATTAATTTTCTTACATCGCTACCAAACGTTATGTTTAAGGGGAAATATAACCTGAAATGGCTTAGCAAGATCCTCCGTTATTCCGAAAGTATAGCAGCATTAATTTTGTAATAAATATATGGTAAAGTTGAGGATTAATGTTAAAGATTATGTTAGACGAAAACACGATTCCGTAAAATTTTCTCGATAGAAAAAAAATCCAAAGTTAGCTCCAAACTGGACAATAAACCGCTATTATTCATAAAATACTTTTAATAACATCATGAAACTTTGCATACTAACTGAACTAACTATAAAGCAGTGCTTATGTTATTTACTTTTTTTAAAATACCATTATTTTCACTGTAAAAAGAAATTACCTAAACTATCGGCGCCCTGAAGCTTGATTCCTGTCGCCCCGTTAGTATCGCTTAGGCTTTTGAAGGGAGAAGTTGTGTCGCTTACGATCAGAATATACATGACGCAACAAGACGACGTAAATTAAAATGGGAAATAACCGTGATAAAAATAAGAAGCAACTGGCTTAGCGTTAAGAAACAGGCATAAATATGATAAACCTAATGAAATAAGTGTCTAACGACCTTTCTACTTACAGTATTAGTGATTACAAACATGTCGGTACATAGCATACGACGCGCGGGGAAGTGGGGACGAAATTAGAATTTGAGCTGACTTACTATATCCTCTTCAATAGGTCAGTGTGTTTTTCCATGTAGTGGCAGCGTAAAACGATTCATATTCCCGTTTCCTACCGTGGAAATCGTAAGCGATGACTGTGTGATACTCCAGGTCTTGAGGCTTCCAATGGATGGTGGTAAAAGCATCTCGTTTACGCTAGGTATAAAATATCATAAGGAAATAGACTCACGTAAAGCTGTGACATTTTTGAGCTACTGAAAAGAAGAAGAAGATACCTGTCCAATACATCGATATGAACTGGCTTCATACTGGACACGGTGCTTGAACTCGACATTTCTTGAAACCCTTCATCTGTCAACGAGGGCTTCTTATCAGTATCCTCCGATCCTTCTAAGATGAAATCCAGCGCGGCTGGCTTCACCTTCTGTGTGGAACGTTGCGGATCCCGGAGATCATAGCTACCTAGGTAAATTTAGAATTATATAAAACACAAACAAAATATTTAATATTATATTTTAAAAGATTCAAAACTTTTAACGATCCCTACCATAGAATACTACAATACATAGTAGAATGGCTGTCAATTTTATTTTGTACGAGATTCGGCGTCGCCGGGAGCACACATACAAGCAATTACGTCGTATTATCAGTTAATCGCTACTACAAACCCGATTCGCTGTGTTGACAGACAGATTTTAATACATATTTATTTGTAAATAGCGTGCAATTTGGCATTTTCTAAATAATTTGCATGCAAAATTTGGAAACGATTGTAATGTCAAAACACATCTCGTGTTGACATTTATACATGTGAATTGACATGTTAGTGACATATTAGTGGCTACGCGAGCTCCGCCCACTCCCCCGTTCTATTATATATGTACTATAGTATTCTATAATCCCTACTCAATTTTTATTCATCGTTGATGCGTTGATTGGTGATTGTATACATTCAATTATATGTTTTGTCGAGACGTTGGTTCGCAGCAATGCTACGATCTGAAGGTAGTTAGATTATTAACAAATTCCATGTTTATAGACCAAACTTACCTACACATAATCACAATACTTATTTGACACAATAATATTTTACTTAGTGTAAAAATTAACAAACTAAATCAAAACGTTAGCGTTGTGTTCACGTAATTAACAACTTTTTAATTAATAAATATTTACAATATAAAAAGCCCGGAGTAAATTTCCATAAATATAAATAGTGAAAATCATCACGCTACCTATCGAAAAAACAGAACAACCAACGTTTGCTAAGCCAGCGAGTATGTACAGATGTCCGCCCCACGCAAGCCCTCTAGTAAGGCTTCAACCCTTAATGAATGTTTCTTCAGTTAGAATATTAAGCGATATGTTGCTCACATTTCTATATATTGAAACATTAAACATTATACGTGGTAGAGCCATGCTGCAGTTATATTAGTAGTAATAGTTGTAGCACGAATGGGTCAGCTCGACCGGGGAAGGCACACGCTCTCACAGAAGACGAGCGTAAAATAGTAGCGTAATGCTGCTGTGTTTCGTATGGTGACTGTAGAGAACCGGAGACCCTTTTTACTGGAAAAGAGGCATTCCATCTTAGTCCTCACGGATGACAACGCATCTGCATTTTGATTCGTAATCGAAGATAGATGCAGATGTCTAGGGGCCGCATTTAACACTTACCATCAGGTGGACTGTGTGCTCGTTTGTCACCCCGTCCTAAAAAAAATTTAAACATAAGTAACTTTTTTAAATCGTATGTTGTATATTATAGAGATAAAATTTATAGTATCACATTTGTAACGATAAAAAGCATTAAAGTATAGTTCCAAGGAATTGCCGTAATCATAAAGGTGGAATAACTTTGCGTCTGCAGACTCTCGGTTGATTTGATCAGTTTTTTCCATTTACTAAGTTATTTAATTAGTTAATAATGATTTCTTATATTTACGCGAACACTACACATGATTGGCACACATGATGTCTACACATGATGGCTATATCTTGAAGCGAGCTTCTATTAGAACATTCTACAAGCCGCCGAAGAAGATTAGTCAGTTCCTACCATCCGTCAAGTGTCATATTCCTCTACAAGATGCAGGAGTGTACAAGCTTGATTGTGAATGTGGTCTCTCTTATATATGAAAAACAAAAAGATCAATTAGGACCCGCGTAAAAGAACATATAGCTAATGTGAAGCATCAACGTTCCGGGAAGTCTGCAGTTTGTGATCATATCCTAGACGGCCCCAACCATTACATCAGATTTGATAGACCACAAATCCTCGTGAAAGAACACCGATTCCTACCAAGGATGATACGTGAGGCTATTGAAATTAAAAAACATCCTAATTTCAATAGAGAAGGAGGCTGGGTACTACCACCTGCTTGGGATCCTATAATCAATAAAATTAAAACTAAACCCAAGCATACCACTGCAAGACCTCAGGACATAGTTCATTTTGCATAGATCGGACCATAAACAATAATTAAAAAAGCTGAAGTTACTCCGGGTGTAACAATGACATCGGGACGTCAGTCATCTCAGTCCCCCGTGACCATGGGTGCTGGAAAGCGCCCGAAACGTCGGGAATTAAAAAATAAAAGTAATTAAAAGCAAAAATAAACGCGATAAAATCCGTAAAAGTAGTTTTAATCATAATTAGTTAATTTAAGTTACTAAGCTACGGTGAGAGTCAACTTAATAAAAATAAACATTCAAATACATACCTCCACACTAGTGTTCTACGTACTCATTTTTCATCTAAAATGATATGCGACAGCACTAAGGCTACGATGGAATACAGCCGCTATTAAAAAAACCACAAACGGAAGGCGTGGCTTGAAGCTAAATATGTTCCTTGTATTCTTAAAGTACAGAATTAAAATTATCAGGTGAATGTGAAAAAATCCGATTGTGACGACCTACAGTGCGATTGTGTAACTGATAGGAGTCATTGCCAGTGGGAACATTACGTAACTGCGTAATTTTATTTTCTCTGTTAATACTATCATTTCATTACAGCCTTCGAGGATCCCACTGCTAAGCTTAGGCTGCCCTATAGATTACTTCATAGGGAGGATGGCATATCTGCGACGTTGGGAAACAGGTTGGCAACGGCAGTATTTCATTAATTTGACTTTTCAGAAAGATTTTGCTTCATCTTCTGTTTTATTTGTTACGCTTTGCACTTACTTATTTGCTACAGTTAAGTTACGTATTCCTCCACAATCAATTCATTAGTGTTATGAATGTCTAAGATGAAACTAATATTATTATTTATAAATTGTATGCCTAATAGCTAAAATACACACATTTGTCTTTCTAATAATGTAATCCTCCGAAATGCTTAATTTATTACCTGAGTCTAGCATCTTCTCTTCATCTTTCACATCTTTTGTACTGTTTTCATCCTCTGTTACTAAATTACTATTTTCGATTTCCGCGTCATTTTGATCTTCATCAGTGGCACTCGAGTTTTTTTCACTTGAAGTCCCACTGTGATAAGAATCGAAGTCTGACTCATAACTCTCAAAATCATCCTCATAAGTTACTTCTTCCTCCTCGCTAGATTTTTCTTTTTCAACCTAAATAATAAAAGAACCTATAGCTGTAGAATGTTTTAAGTGATCCAAAACTTTGCATTAAAATTGACGGAATGAATGGAATGTGAAGTCCGGCTAGAAGATCATTGTCCTTATTGCACCATAATCAATCAAATTTTATTCGAGTCAAAAGAAAAAATGATAAACTTTTAGACAAATAAATATCAAAATATAGAGGCAACACATACAATTTCGGAGCGCATATAATATTATTTTGACATAGTTTTGAGCAGAAATTTAGAAAAAGCCAAATTTAAAAACATTTGAAATAAGTCTCAATTACAAACCTTTTGTTCTCATATTGAGTTTCAAAGCACTAAAAATTCAATATTTAAATTGAAATTTTAAAGTACTTAAGATGAAAATTCGTCACCAGTTTTTAGACCATTAAAGCATATTATGGTAAAATTTTAATGGAACTATGCACTTGTTTACTATTTACTATAAATAAAAAAAGTAAGCATTTACACGAAAAATACTAGTGTTTTACTTAAAATTAGAGGAAATAGCTCTTGTCAATAAGAATTGGATTTCTTTAGCCTAAAAGCGTAATAAAGAAGAAATACAAGAGCACATTTGTTTACTACTCATAACAGACTCTTCAAATCGTTTATTTAAATCGGAAAGAAATTTGGGTAAAATAATAATAAAATATGGCCTAACAAAATCGATTCGCCATTTCAAATAGGCACCGTTATTCTTAACAGTAATTGCCTACTCAAAACATTGATTGAATTAGTGTAACTATTCTGTCATCTCCAATAGACCTAGCTAGGCTACCCGAATGAAATAAGACTTCATGAAATGAATGGATTTAATGTGTTTCATGTAATGGATTGATCACCTTTTCTTGTTCATTGCTTAAGTCCACATAAAATGACATCGGCTTAGCACTTAGTCTCCGTGATAAATTTTTCATTTCTGCGTTATTATCTATAACCTCTGGCTTCAATATCTTAACTTCATTTTCATCTAAAGTCCGAGTTTTCGAGCGCTGTCGTAAAAATATGTCCGCCATTTTATTTTTACCCTGATCCTCGTCAACTGATGCATCAGTTACTTTACTGATTTTGTTATCTGTGTTCGAATTACATTTTTCCTTATTCAAATCTATACTCGATTTCCGTTTCGACACGGGAGAATTTACAGTGACGTTAAATGGTGGAGGAGCTTTAACAGTGCGTGGAGTACTTTTCTTGGACGAAGGCATATTAGCTTTTGCCTCGATTCTTTTTTCAACCGCCATTTTTGTAGAACTTCTTGCGCTACTAATGTTACTCACGGACGATTGCGAAGATTTTAATAAATCTTTCATTGGTGACACAATTTTATTTGTATGTGTAGATAACGAAGACGCCGCCTTTTTTGGAGCTTGTAAAACATTCGGTTTCTTTTTATCATATATATCAGAGGGTGTAGTTTTCTGCAAATAGTTTCGAGGTGTGGACACGTTCTTCTTTAACCTTTCCTCCTGCGCCTTTCTAGATGATCCTGGTACATCATCTTTGACTGTTTCTTTGTTTTTGTTTCTATCTAATATCTTTCTTGAAGAGTTCTGCATTTTAGCTTATATTATATCGTCTGAAATAAAACATTCGAACTTACTAAATGTGTTTATTATATTACCAAAATGGCAACTACTCTCTATACTACTCTTAATATTTTCTATTTATGTGAGATGCAATCTTTAGTTTTAGACTTTAGATTAACTGCTACTGAGGATAAGGATAGGTACCGTGTAGTGTGGTAAAAGAATATCTACCACCCCTTATAATCCCGTGGGTGTCTTAAGAGGCGACAGAGGGAAACAAATCAGAGATGGCAGAAAAAGCTTGTCGTGCTCAGCAGAGCTCGCACATGGAATACTGTTCCCATCTCTGGGCTAGAGCCCCCCAGTGCCAACTCCTTCCATTTTATCGCATCAAGCGCAGAGCCTTTCGAATCGTCGGCGACCGAGCTCTTTCCGATCGGCTTGATTCACTGGCACTGCGAGGAGATTTTGCATCTCTTTGCGTGTTTTATCGCATCTATCACGGGGAGTAAAGTAAAGTAAAGTTACAGCCTATATACGTCCCACTGCTGGGCACAGGCCTCCCCTCATTTCTGAGAGGGTTTTAGGGCAAGGAAGTGTCCGCCGCGCTGCCCTAATGCGTGTTGGCGAACTTCACATGTCTTCGAAATAATTTTTTTCTTATGCCTCAGACATGCAGGTTTCCTCACGATGTTTTCCTTCACCGCTGAGCACGTGGTAAATCAGCACTTAAAATTGCAATTAACAATTTCATTGGTGCCGGCGGGGATCGAACCCGGGTTACTCGCGTTCTGTTATATTTACAGCGAGCATTAACTATCTGAGCTATCACGGGGAGTGCTCTGAGGAATTGTTCGGACTAATTACAGGCGTAAAATTTCACCATCGCACATTGCAACAAAACTCGCGATACCATCCATACCATCTGGATGACCAGCGGTCCACCACTGTGCGCTTTAAAAGAAGTTTTTTCCCTCGCACAACTTCCTTGTGGAATCGACTACCACCAGAGATTTTTCTGGACCGATACGACTTAGAAACCTTCAAGAAAATACCCTACTCTCGGAAACTCATCAACAATTCCCCTGGTGTTACAGTCGATCATAGGCGACGGTAATCACTTCATCATGAGGTCCTCAGTTTGAATCCCCGGTCGGGCAAAAAATCAATAAATGAGTTTTCCGTCAAGAAATTCTCAGTAGCTGCCTGAAATCAGGAAGTTGGCGGTGTCTCACCCCCGTGCCTCGGAAAGCAGTAAAGCCGTTGGTCCTGCGCCTGATCTCTCTCCGGTCGTGTCGGTTTACCGTCCCATCAGATTATGAGAGTGAGGGTATAGATAGTATAGAGACACTTGGGCACCATAATCCTGTCCTGCGCCGATGGCTAGCCTCCGTTGAGGCAGGCCGCCGTGGCCGAAATTCGGTCTGGAGGAAATTTTTTTTATAAGTATGTTAAGAGAATTGTGAAGTACTGATACGCGACGCGAGTAGGTATTTTCAAAAATGCCATCTGTTTCATATTACTCGCTTTGCCTCCTGGCGTGACAAACTCAAATATAACATATTATAAACTAATTCTCACGCACACTACAATAGCAGCAACAAGCGACGCTCGGGCGTATTCTGTGAATCACTCGAACGTGATCTATCTGCGGTTTGCATACATTTTCAAGCAAAGAGATTTAAATTCTAATACCTTTAAACGAGCAATTTATATATATATATATATATATATATACAGTGTGTCCGGTCACGGACTAGCGATATTTTAGCATATTTTTTTGATATTTATTTGAAGTTAAATTTTTTTTCTCCAAAGTTACAAGTATGTCAACAAAAATTTTGATAATGTAAACGATAAACAATATTATTATTGGCCTCCGAATGAGTTAATTTTTATCTCAGTAATACTAAAACTTTGAGAGATATGACTTTTTTCGTAAACCCGTAGAGAATATCTCAAGAAAAAAACAAAATGGCTGCCAAATAGAGGGGGAGGGGATTGGACCTCAGTGTGTAGTGTATTTTTATATTAAAATAGCTGTATTATAAGTACCTAAAATATCGCTAGTCAGTGACCGGACACACTGTATACACATCATACAACATCTACCTGGCAAGCTAGTATATATATATATATATATATATATATATATATATATATATATATATATATATATATATATATATATATATATATATATATATATATATATACTAGCTTGCCAGGCAGATGTTGTTCTACCCTTTTTGACGACCCTTTGTCAGGTCATATTAAAATTCCTCAAATTAGCAAAAAAAATTGTAGGTCACTCATGAGCAAAAAAACTATCCTATCTCTCAAGTTGGACCAAGCTACACACATAAAAATCAGGGCCAATCATTTTTTAAGTAAAGAAACAAGAGTTTTGGCTTCTTTGTAAAAAACGAGGATAAAATAAAACAATTAGAATTGACTACTAGAGATCAAATAGACAATGATTTGTGGCACACTGAACGGAGAAAAAGGCTAACTGCATATAAATTTCAAACTGCGCCCTTACTGTGCATACTCATTTCAAAGGAAATACGGCAACCGAATATGGAAACCAACACGAATCGGAGGCCATACGAGAATTTTCCACAACTACCAATTTAAAAGTTTCGGTGTGTGGACTGTTTATTGATTAAGATGATTATTATTTAGGGGCAAGTCCTGATGGACTTCTCGGAGATGACTCTCTAATTGAAGTCAAATGTCCTTTCTGCTTCTAATATGCCACCTGTGGAGGCCATAACTGAAAAAAGATCAAATTTTGTTCGATACGAGGACAGATGATTTTAAAAAGAAATCATGTTTACTATTATCAGGTCCAGGGAAAATTACATATCACTGGTAGGTAATTTTGTTTTTTCGTAGTATGGACGCTACATGTTTTGGCGTATGAAAAATTAAGTTAGATGGCTTCTTTTGTACGAAAAAACAAGTACTTATTCAATAAATACTCTAAAATAAAAAGACTAAATACATAATGAAGTTATTCGCAGATACTATTTTTTCATAAGAAGTATTATTTGTGTAGGTTTTCGGTATTACTTTCTTCTCCCTAGGCTGTAATAATATCTTTTTTAATTATTATTTTTTTACGTTACCCCCACACTAGGACTTTCTCCTGTATCGTGGAGGCAGTTTTTACATACATAAATTGCACAAGGACAAACATCCAGACCCGGAACAACTACTTGTAGGCCATACAAATACTTGTGCCGTGCGGGATTCGAACCCGCGGCCCTCAGCGCTATAACTCATTGCTGAGCTACTGCGCCACATAGCCGTCAAATCTATACATATAATACGTATATCGATAAAATCTCCGACATCTAATAACAACAAACCACAAACCACAACTACAGCAGTATGCGATTGCCCCTGCCTCCCGACCCTTATCGTGCGATAGAGAGAGTTGCATGTCTTGGAAGCAATTGCCTACATTTCTTTATTGAAATATTGTTTCGGGCGATAACATTGATACCCCCCTAAACCTTTACGAAATAATTTCGGTATCATTAGATTCAGTATACCTTAGTCTAGGTCTGTACGTTTTCTTTTTAGTAAATCAATTTAGTTTAATTAAGAAAAATAAAAACGCTCGAGGAAGTTTTTAAGTCAAAAATATAGATATTTAGATGCTAATAACTTATATCGTACGTAATATTTCTTTAAAATTAAAACGTACGGACCTAGTTTTTTGTTCTATCTACAGCATTTCCAAAAATTATGAAAATTAGACTACGTTTACTGGTGAATTATCGCTTTTTGTATGAAAATTTACAGCTTCACAATCCTCTTAATAAAATTATGAATTGATTTAAAAATACCTGATTGGCCGTTAGTGGCGGTGTAAGAATATCCAATACCCCATATCGTCTCGTGTGTATCTTAACAAACGACAGAGGGAAAGAACCTAGGAAACGGGCATCAGCATGTTCCTAACAAAAAATAGAGTTGTCAGCCCGTCTGCCAAGCGTGGCAAATATGCGAATATTATTAGCCTGTGAGGCAGTACAAGTGGTTAGTTTAGCAGAGCACTTTTGATAGTATATAATGATAATGGTGTAAACAGGGCGACCGTTGAATCTGTAAAAGTGTTATAGATCTGCTCAAATAATATATTTCATACGTGGTAGAGTAACGCTGCAGCTATATTATGATAGATAACGAATGGGTCGGCATGACTGAGAAAAAACCACGGTCTGACAGAATACCAGCGTAAAATAGCAGCTTAATACTGCTATGTTTCGTATGGTGAAAGTAGAGATCCAGAGACCCATTTTACTGGAAACAGGCATTCCATCTTAGTCCCCAGGGGTGACAACGCATCTGCGTTTTGATTCTTAATCGAGTATAAATGTAGATGTCTATGGGCCACAGCATCCACTTACCATCAGGTGGACTGTGTGCTCGTTTGTCACCCTTATTTTATTTAAAAAAAGTAACAAAATTAAGTAAATAAACTAAGATGTAACTGGTTATCAAACAATCTTTTTATTTTATAAATATGTAATTCGAAAACTGCTAATATTGCCTTATTATTTAGATTTCTGTGGAAAAATGACATCGATTTGAAGATGTTGGTTTCGCGGCGTTGCGTGCCGCAGGTTTAATTAACGCACGGAACAAGACCTATATTCGTACGGTATACGAATAATTCTTCCGGGTCTGGATGTTTTCAGTTGTGCAGTTTAAGTACGTAAACTGTCTCTACGCTACAAGAGAAAATCTTAATGAGTGGAATATAATGTTTTTTTATATTATACTGACTAGTTGGCCAGTTAGTATGGCCAGTCTAAACGGAAACTACGTTTAGACTGACCAGTGGCCATAGTATAGCTATCTCCGCTGGACAGGATTATAATGCCAGAGAGTATGTGCATGCACAAGTGCCTATACTCTCTCTACTATACTCTCTATTTTCTCACTCTCATAATCCGATGGAACGGCAATCCGACACGACCGGGATCAGGCACAAGACCAACGGCCTTAAGCGCTTT